GGGGGTTCATGCCGTTAATGCTATATAATATATTATGTATATTCTATAATACATAAGAATCCATATATATATAGTGCTTATTTACACTGTTGCTTTTCTTCACAACTTCCAGTGCCCATTAAAATTTCTCATGAGCAAATTTGTCAAAATTGCAAAAGAAAATTACCTTCTATGTCTTCTTGAACTTTGACAAAGTTCTTCAATATTATGCCCTTCCCAGTTGTAGCCTGAAATACAATACCAGAAAACATACCATATACTAATGGAAATTCATGTTAATATCATCAAAGAAATTTGCATCTATGACTCATTCACCCAATTTTCAGTTTTCTCTATTGAAATTACAGAAGAGTATTAATAAGCAAGAAACAGTCGGCCCCTTATTTTAAAAGATGAAATGAAATTATGTCTTACCTATGTCAGAGAGGTTCTTGTAGGTGTCAAGCATCACATCTTTGTAGAGATTTTTCTGGGAATTATTCAGCAAAGCCCATTGTTCTTGAGTGAATTTGATGAGCACATCACCATAGGTCACTGCATCCTAAAATAACTCATACATAGGTAAAACAGGAAGTGTGCTACTCACAATATGTATATGTATATGTATATACACTCTTTGTCAGTATGGTCTTATAATCCAGATGCTTCCAAAACTTATTTTATGACAGGGAAACTATAATGTATTCACCCAGGCACTTTTGAATTAAACTGACTAGGACGTACACATGCACCATTTCTTGGCCCTTTAAATAGCATACAGCCTTGAGAAAGAAATCCCAATGAACAGACATAAAGAGAGGCAAAGTAACAGATCAACACTACTGAGAATACATCATAGAAATTGTATGATAGGGCCAGCCTATCCCAACAATTCCCCAGTCAGCGGTACCTACTTCTGTATTTTTTAAGTTTTTATGAAGAGACACCAAGAACCATGGCAACACTTTTCTGTTGATTTTTGTTTAGGGTTTTGATTTTTGAGTCAGGGTTTCTCTGTGTAACAGCCTTGATTGTTTTGGGTCTTTTTGGACTTGAATGACCCCAAACCACAGAAATCTGCCTGCCACTGACTCACAAATGCTGGGATTAAAG